CCACTTTTTTTTTTTTTTTTTTTTTTTTTTGTACCAGGGATCAAACTCGGGTCCTTGAGCTTGCAAGGCAGGCAGAGGAACCACAGAGTTAAATCCCTGGCCCCTCAACCACGTATTGAAGGGAAGCTAGGGCCTATTCTTTGCCTTTTGAGTACAAAGCACTTCTCATGCTGAAGTCAGAAGAGTGACCACAGCAAAGCCCCCCATCGCCATGCAGCCCTGGGACCCAGGGGGAGAAAGTGGTCTGTGGCCTTGCCCGCTCCTCACCCTGCCATCCTGGGCCCACTAAGCAGCTGGACTTGACGGCGTCCTGTTGTGTCCTAGCCCCATTCCTGACCAAGCCTGAGGGGCTCTGGTGGAGCACAGTGAACACGGGTCTGGACTCCTGCAGCAGTGTCGTCACCACCCTGTCCCAGGGCTTTTGTCTCCTGGGGACTTTCCCACTCATGTCACCTGGCTGTTCAGGCCACAAAAAGTGGCAGAGACGCAGTTCCCCCGTCAGTTCCCGAGTGCAGATCACATGGGTTCTGACTTAGGCCCAGACTCACCAGAGTAGCTGGAGGCACTGAGGCCGTGGCACTGGGGAGGATGTGGGCATGAGCGTTGCAGGCATCAGGTACCACGAACTGTGGGCTCCAGTGACCTGGAGGAAGCAAGGTGGCTGGAGGCCAGGGAGAGGGGACCTTGCAGCACAGGGTCTGGGGAGGTCCCTCACCTTCTTCCCGTCACTGACCTAGCTGGATGGAGAGCAGCCCTAAGGTTGGCCCAGCTTCCCCCTGTGCCCGCTGAAGAGTCCCTGCTTCATAGACGACCTCGTAGAGGGCAGGAGAACTGGGTGCCGCAGGGGCAGGGGGGCTGTCAGAGCGACCAGGGGCCTCCGAGGTGCCACTGTCGCTGCCAGGAGATGCTTCAGAGCAATACACCTCGTTAGGGTTGATGAAAAGGTTCAGGAAATCCTCAGACTCGCTTTCTCGAAGGCCCTGTAACGGGAGAGGTGTAGGTACGCGCCAGGAAGGGTTTCCGAGGTCCTACCTGACAGCACACTTGGATCGCTCAAGCTGCGTTTCCATCTCTTCTGCCCCAGCGCTGGACATACACAGCTGCACCTACACCAAGCGTCTACTCTGGAACCTCTGTTCGGAGATTTCTCCCTAAGGGGGACTTCTCATCAGGCGTGTTTCACCTCCTCTTTCCTGCCACCCACCACGCTCCAACAGCCGCGCCGCCCCTGTGCTCCGAGCCTGGTCCCCGGAACCTCCGGAGGGGAGCGGGTGAAGCCCAGCTCCAGGAGGGACCCCGCAGAGAAGGCATCTTCTGGGGGCTCCAGGAACTCGTCCAGCAGGTCGGAGGACTCGAGATCCATGCTTCTGCAGGAAGGCGTACGGGGCAGTCGCGAAGGGAGGCGGTGGCTCTTCCCACCCGTGGCGTCCTCCCACCACACCGGCCCGACCTTCGGGCCGCGGACGCCGCACACTGCCCTCTTCCTCCAGGATCTGCATCCTGGTCCTGCCCGGCTAAGCCCCGCCCCGCGCCCCGCACCCCGCACCTGCGAGGCCGGCTGCACCTGGGAGTCGGGGACTGAGACGCTGAACTGCTTTTAGGGAAAACAGGCAGCTACGGCGGTCTCCTCAGGGAAGCCCAGGGTGGCCGTGACTGGAGCACAAGAAGCGTGAGCGCGCTGGGCTCCAGCCAGCTCTTCAGCAGCGACGGCCACGCCGGGAACAAAGGCGCAGCTTCTAGGCATCCCCTCCCCCGCCGCTGGCGCTCTTCCCGCGCTTGAGTCCTGATTGGAAGCCACAGACCTAGGGGAATCAGAGGAGCAGGCGATGGAGTCGCCCGCTCCAGGCCAACTCCTTTGTGATTGGTCAGAATGGACAGCGGAAGGGAGGTGTAGCCAATGGGGTAGCAGTATTTAGTCAGGCGGGGATTGGGTAGCGTGGGCCCGAAGTCGCGGAAGTACCCTGAAAGTGGACTGGAAGGAAATTGGGCAAAAGTTTTGCGGGTGCTTGCAGGGCTGGTTGGGTTTGCTTGCCACGCGACCTGGAAGCCCTGGGTCCCGTCAGCGGGGAGTAAACAACCTTGACTTACGTGAAGCGCCAGGGCTGACTCTAGGCGGAAGGTCCGCGGCCTGCCGTGTGTGCTCAACGCTGGTTCCGTCACCGACCGAGGGACGGGGTCTGCGTAATGGGCGAGTTCGGAAACTCAGTTTACGTGTGGGGATTTACATTTTGAGAAAGTGTCTTACTATGTAGTGGCCTTGAACTCACTGTGGAGCCCACTATGCCTTGAACTCGCGGTGATCCTTCTGCCTCAGCCTCCCGCGTGCTGGGATTACAGGTGTTCACCACGCCCTTTTTTTGTTGTTTTGTTTTGTTTTTGTACGGAGGATCGAACTCCAGACCTTGTGCTTGTGAGGCAGGTGGTGGCACCGCTGGCAAAATCCCCAGACCTGTTTAATTTATTTTTAAATTTGTATTAGTGTATGTTTGCAGTGCATAGTGATTAGTCTATTACGGAGAGTTGGCACATGTACATAACACATTTTAATTCTTTTCTCATACACGTTCCCTCCCTCCCCCCTCATTTAAAAACTCCTCTTAAACCTTGTTATCTCATTTAATCTGCAAGTGCTCTAAGGCACATAGAGCTGGTAATAGTTTCCCAATTTTTTTTTTTTTTTTTCTTGAGACAGGGTCTCAACTATGTAGTTGAGACTGACCTGGAACTCACTATGTAGCCCAGGCTGGTCTCAAACTCACAGCGATCCTCCTGCCTCAGCCTCCCGGGTGCTGGGATTGCAGGTGTGCGCCACCAGGTCCGGCTCATATTTTCCCAATTATACTGAGGAGGAGAGAGAGGAGTAGAAAGCAGCTCAAAACTAGAAAACAGTGGGCCAGGGAATTAGCTTAGTGGTGCTGCCACCTGCCTTGCAAGTGCAAGTCCTGCATGTGATCCCCAGAACCAGAAGGAAAAAACAAAAAACTTGTGAAAATGGTTTGTTACTTTCTTGACCCAGAAAACCCCATACAACCACACAAATCAAGAGGTTCAAGCTGGACCTGGTGGCACCTACTTGAAATCTCAGCACTCGGGAGGGTAAAGCAGGAGGATTTCTGTGAGTTGAGTTTGAGGCCAGCCTGGGCCACATAGAGAAAATCCATCTCCAAAAAGCCAAAGGTAAAAAAAAAGAAATTCAGATCTTTGTGTTCACTTTAAGAATGCTAGCAAAACTGCCTGGCCACCAAGTATCTGAAGAACGTCGACTTTATTCGTTTATTTATAGGTTGTTTTTTGTCTCTTTTTTTTTTTTCCTTCCTGGTACGGGGATAGAACTCGGGACTTTGTGCTTGCCAGGCAGGCTGCAGAGCCACTGAGCTAAATCCCTGCACCTATTAATAGTTTTTTTGACACAGGGTCTCACTATGTAGTCTAGGCTGGGATTGAATTTACTATGTTTTGGGCTCTTTTATTTATTTATATTTTTGTGTGAGGCAAGGTCTTGCTATGTAATCCAGGCTGGCCTTGAACTCACTGTGTAGTCCAGGCTGGTCTCAGACTTGAGGCAATTCTCCTGCCTCAGCTTTTTGAGTGCTGGCATTACAGGCACGTGCCACCACATCTGGCAGGATGTCACTCTAAAGAAGCAAAATGTGTCATTGTAGCATTACACTCACAGAGTTGGTAGGTCTGTCCAGGCCTAACAGTAGGGCTGGACACAGGCTTGCTGGCTCAAAAGAGTGTTGAATTTTTGCTGCAGATGCTTGAAAGTGGAGAGAGTAATGCTGACCTCCTGGGCTTTGCCGGAGATTCTGTGCTCATTGAACACATCCAGATGAGTCAGGCACCCAAGATGCACTGCCTGACACACACAGCTCCCTGTCCATGAGCTCCCCTGCCATACTTTGATGATCCTGACTGAAAAGAAAAAAACTGTCCCTAAATCAGAGGAGGAGAAGGGTACACAGAAGAAACAAAATCCCAGGAGAAACTGAAGAAACAGAAACTGTCTCAGGAATAAATTAAGCATAAAATAAATGCAAATAAAAATTTAAAAACCAAAACAAAATTCAAATATATTAATTCTCTTTGTGAAGATTTAAATAGTCTAAAGGTAAGCCAGGAGTGGTGGTGCACGCCTATAATTGCAGCACTCAGGAGGCTGAGGCAGGAGGATCGCTGTGAGTTTGAGACCAGCCTGGCCTACATAGTGAGTTCCAGGTCAGTCTCAACTACATAATGAGACCCTGCCTCAAAAACAAACAAACAAACAAAAACCCACCAAAAAATAAATAGCCTAAAGGTAAAAGCAAGAAGAGATCTAATTGAGCACCGCTGGCCTTGAACTCTTGGCACTCCTCCTGCCTCAGTGCTGGGATTACCGATTGAGCAATACATATTTGCCACGTTTTTTGGGGGGAATGGGGATCAAACTCACCACCTTGCACTTTCGAAGCAGGTGTGGTACCACTGAGTTAAATCCCCAGCCTTGCTACCTTGTTTTGAGACTGGGTACGTAGTTCAGGTTGGTCTTGAACTATGTAGCACAGGTTGGCCTCAAACTTGGGGTGATCGTCCCACCTCTGCCTCCAAGTGCTGGGATTACAGGCCTGTGTCTCTATGCCTAACTTTTCATATTACTCATATAAATCTTGTAGCAACTCGCAGTAGCTGAACCAAACTTTGGTTGCCTGAGGTGTTCTTGTGTAGATTTTTCTAAGCAAGAAAGGTAGTGAGATGCATTTTCAACTCTAGGTGTATGCCACCATATCCAATTTTTTTCTTTTTGTGTGTTTTTATGTTTTTTTTGTTGTTGCTTTTTTGGTACCAGGGCTTGAACTAGGGTCTTTGCGCTTGCGAGGCAGGTGGCAGAACCACTGAGCCAAATCCCCGGTCCTGTTTGTTTTTTTGAGACACGGTCTCACTATGTAGCCCAGGCTGGTCTTGAATTCACAGCGACCCTCCTGCCTCAGCCTCCCAAATGCTGGCATTACAGGCATGCGCCACCACGCGCGGCTTCCAATTTTTTCTTTCTTAAATTAATTGTGAGTTTAGCCAGGCAGGATGTCATATGCCAGTAATTCTGGCACTGGAGAGGCTGAGGTAGGATAACCTGTCTCAAAAAACAGAAAAGTTTAGAGCCAGGTGTGGTGGTGCACACCTGAAATCCCAGCACTCACAGGAAGCTGAGGCAGGAGGATCACCATGAGTTCAAGGCCAACCTGAACTACACAATGAGACCTCGTCTCAAAAAAACCCCCAAAATAAAAAATAAGTAATTTCGGCGATTTGGCTGAGTGGTTCCGCTGCCTGCCTCACAAGCTCAAGAACCCGAGTTCGATCCCCGCCCCCGCCGCCTAAATAAATAAATAGAAAAGTTTAGCACAGCGATTAGATTATTAGTAAATGGCCCATTTGACTTTTATCCTGCCCTGATCTATACATTATTTCTCCTAAACCTTCCTCTTGAAGTCTGCACGTTCTCCCCTTCACTTAGAAGCTGCCGGCCTCCATTTCTAGAGCCTATCTGAAGCATTTCTGTCTTTTTTTTTTGAGACAGGGTCTCGCTAGTAGTCCAGCCTGGCCTCGAACTTTCAGCCATCCTCCGGCCTCTGCTCCCGAGGAAGGCTGGGATCACCGCGCTGTTTCAGGATCGTGGTTGCGGGCGCAGAGGTAGGGTCGTAGCGTTCTCTGACGGTCGGGAGTGTAGGCCAGGAGGGGGCATGGAGGGACCCCAGGCTGGTCCGCGTGTGGACTTCCAGCCCCACAACGGCCCGGCCGAAGGCGCGGTAGCCGGCGGGACTGCGGGGCTCGGGGCTCTTGGTCGCCTCCTGGCTGCCCC